GTAACACAGCTTCACAGAGTTAAACAAGTGAACATAAAAGAATGCAGCCTGTCTTTGCATCGTTAAGCACACTTCCCACAGCATAAACAAATATGGCACACCCTAAACTAAGATTCACAATGGTCGACTTCGAATTTTTGAATGCTAATGAAGAGAGACCTGCAGATGCTGAGAGACACTGGATTGTGGAAAGGACCGCTGAATCAAACCAGCCTGGATACTCTAGAGATAACTTGGCTCACCCTTAACCACCCTAGATACTCTAGAGATGACTGGGCTTCATCCTTAACCACCCTAAATACTCTCGAGATAACTGGGCTTCAGAATGGAAGCTGGGCAATGTGTTGCATTAGCGAGAAAGACATTATTTCATATGGCATGGAGAAAGATTTTTATTATAGTTTGGTTATACAATCCAAACAAACTATAAAGTTAACAGGTGCCTTTTACCTGCTCAAACATAGAACAAAAAACAATCTTTAACTTATGTGGGCACACTGCACATTCCATACTTAGGTTAATGTGGAGATATATGTTACCTTTAAAAGTTTGTATGTGGGGAGGAGGCAGAAATCTTTAATAAATAAATAAACAAATTTAATAAAAAAATAAAATAAAATCCCCCAAGAGGCACAGTCTTAAAAAAAAGAATCACATGTAATTGAAATGAATGATATGAACATAACAAAAGATTTTTGAGTAAATAAAAATATTGGAAACTACAAAAAAAAAAGTTTGTGCCGGGCGGTGGTGGCACACGCCTTTAATCCCAGCACTCGGGAGGCAGAGGCAGGCGGATCTCTGGGAGTTCGAGGCCAGCCTGGTCTACAAGAGCTAGTTCCAGGACAGGAACCAAAAGCTACGGAGAAACCCTGTCTCGAAAAATCAAAAAAAAAAAAAAAGTTTGTATGTTTTCAGAAAAAACGAACCAGATACCAATAAAAACAAGAAGTTCAAGTGATCCAGCCTCTCAGAATGTATGTCTATGACATTTTTTCAAAATTCTACATCCGGAACAACTTTAAAGCTGCTAGCTGAGATGGTCCAGTCTCACAGACTGCTCTCGCCAGGACTTTGGATAAGCCCTGCACTTTTCCGTTACACAGAGACTGAACAACAAATGATACAGCTGGCTCTCCAGGACTTGACCAGTATCCCAATCTCCTGAGGGTCCCCTAAAGATTCCATCATCCCCAGAAACGGAGAAGTCTACAGAACATGATGCCCGCATTCCCAAGAGGTGAAGGGGGTGGATTTTAGTCATACGATGGGTTATGGATGTTTGTCATCATTTAGGGGAATTAATTATAATTTGTTATTGGTCATGGTCAGAAAAAAAAGGCTGAACATGAAGATTAGATTTAGGGACCTCTTTCTGAAGGGAAAAAGAGGGGATGCAGTATAGAAATGGTGGCATAAATGGTGTATTGTAACTTTGAACAACTCTGACACCTTCAGAAGTGTCCCTAGCACCTCAGGCTCCTGAAGAACTTCCTCTGGGCCCCTCAGTCCCAATTCTGTTCTCTCTCTTTTTTTTTCTTTTTGGTTTTTCAAGACAGAGTTTCTCTGTGGCTTTGGAGCCTGTCCTGGAACTAGCTCTGTAGACCAGGCTGGTCTCGAACTCACAGAGATCCGCCTGCCTCTGCCTCCCGAGTGCTGGGATTAAAGGCGTGCACCACCACCGCCCGGCCTTAGTCCCAATTCTGTTAGACTGTTTCTGTTGACTTACATGTTTGGACTCCACCATGGACTCTTAGGGAGCAGATAATCATGTCCTTTCTGCCTCCCCAGTTGACATGCCTAGAACTTGGTCTACCAGAAGTTATAAAGAGATGGCTCCCTTCCCAGCCCTCTAGAAAATCCATCCCCTGACTGGCTAGGAGTTCTTTTCTCCCCATTTTTCAGATGTGAAGATTCACAATGACAGAAGCATGCTGTTACATGTTTATTGTGCCCCGGGCACTGTTTGAAGCACTTTACTTGCAGAATACAGCTGAAAGCTTAGGAGAACGAGGCGGTTGTTTTCATTTTGTAAGTAGGAACACCTGTGATAGGTTAAACGGCCTGTGCAAGTCTACAAAGTGGTGCTCCCCCAGGCCTTTCCCCTCCCAAGCTTTGTGGTCTGCGGCACCTCTCCCTCCATCTGCACAATCACCCACCCAAAATTTACTGTGTTTCTCAAATTGAGATATATTTGAAGAAAATAATTTTCAAAATGTAGTCTAGGGCCCAAGACAAACAAGGCTTCTTTCTTCAGGGTGCTCTGGAGGCCAGGCCATAGGTGGAAATACTTTCCTATTAAAATCTGCATCAGAACAAAATTCAAATAATTCTTTTTGATTTTATTGCATTGAGACAGTTAGCCTGGATAGCCCTGGACAGCCCTGCAGTCTCTATGGATCTGGGAATGGAGGAAGTCCTGATCCTCCTACCATCACCTCCCAAGTGCTGAGATAACAGGCATGTGCTGTCATGCTTGGCTCACATAAAAACGTTAAGTTTTCCAGTTTTGGTTCGTCCCCTTACCTGAAAGGGATACACAGTGAAGACTGGTTTGTTCTCCTTACCTGAAAGGGATACACATCCAGAGACAGCTTTCTCTTTGCCTCTGCTGTGACTTGTCCTCCGTTCTGATTCTCCTCTGCAGTCCCTTGGATTCATGGGCATTCTGGGAACTCCTTGCCACCTACCCACCCACTTTATGCTGTGCTTGCAAGGGAGATTTAAAAACGACTCAGAAAAGAGCAAACCACGCGGGCAGAGACTACGCAGGCCTGTGGGGAGGCAGACGATAGGGTGCGTGGGGACTGAAAGTCAATCTGAGGTGTCTAAAGAGAAATTATAAAGAACTGCAGCAAGAAAAGCCAGTGCGTGACGATTTATATTAAGCTGCTGGCTCCACGCACAAGACACAGGCCACAAGGCCACCACCAACAGGCCGTGGCTGAGGAAGGGAGGTTCGCGCCAAGCTGAACTGGCAGCGGCAGCCGAGTGGGGGAAGGAGAGGTCCTAACACCAAACGTTGGGTGCCAACTGAAGGCGTAAGTCACAAACAATGCCACACAAGTTTGGAATTATGATTAATAGGGTGGTATTTATTTAAAGGGGAAAAAACTTACAGATCACCGTCCCAGACAACAGCCCTCTGCGCAACCAGGAAGGGAGTCTAGTCGCCGGCAGAGCAGAAAGTGAAGAGAGAGAGGAGAGGGAAGGACCACCCCGCAATGGGCTGGTATCTCAGCAGCGGCTATAGGCTCCGCAGGAGGACCTCCCGCAACAATGCTGACTCTGCTTGCCTGCTCTGGCTCAGTGCTGTTGTTTTGGGGTAACTTCCTGCTGTGGAATCAGTTGCAAACACCCCCCCCCCCACACACACACACCGCCCGTACATTGAAACTGTCACACAATGAGACCGCATCCAGAGTTTGGGCCTTTGGGAAACAGTTCAGGTGAATTGGTGTCCTAGGGAGGAGAGTGATCAACAAGAACAGATAGTCTTGTTTGTAGGAGAGCGTGTTCATGGTGTCACTGCCGTGTGAGGACAAGCCAGCAAGTTGGCCCTGATCAGACCAGACTGTGCAACGGCTTAGACTTCCAGCTCAGAGCTGTGGAGCGATAGATGAGGGGGAAGTGGCTTGCTTTCCACTCTGCTGTTCTTGGGACTGTGTTTGGATCTGAGTTTCTTTGGTGACCATTTTTCTGTTGCTGGCTTGTCAAAGGGTCTCTGCAGAGTAGTCTGCACCTTTTCCCTGGAGGCGTCTCAGTTTCAGTAGCTCTGAAGCAACACAACATTCTCTTTGCTTGCCACTTCTGTGTCACATTGGTCATACACACTTGGGTCACATGCCTGTGGGAGACACAGGATTGGGGAAGGTGGTTCTGTGGGCACCTGTGTAAACGGGAGTCACTCTGGTGTAGTGAGGAGGAGCGGCGGGCTACGTTCCTGGCACCCGGCCGCCTGCACGGCTAGCTTTATACCCGAAATAATTACACGGAAACTGTATTCTTTTAAGCATTGCCTGGCCCATTAGTTTTAACCTCTTATTGGCTAGCTCTTACATATTGATCTAACCCATTTCTAATACCCCTGTAACACCACGAGGTGTCTTACCAGGGAAGATCTTAACCTGCGCCTGTGTCTGGTGGGAGAATCATGGCGACTGCCTGACTCGGCTTCTTTCTCCCAGCATTCTGTCCTGTTTACTCTGCCTATCTAAGTTGCTGTCCTGTCAAAAGGGCCAAGGCAGTTTCTTTATTTAACCAATGAAATTAACATGAAACAGAAGACTTTCCCCCATCACTCTGTGCCAAGAAGCACTCCCACGTGGGGCTCGGCTTTGTTGAATGACCATGTGAGCCGCCTGGCCTTGCATTCTTTCTAGGATGTTAAGCAGTACCCACAATTCAAGTTTGCAAAGTAAGACAATGGCATTGCTAGCACCAAACTCTGCTACACTGACCATTCCTGCCCACGGCCATGTCAGTGTTGGGCCGGTGCCACCAGTCTGTGAAGCACAGTGCTGGGCTTCTCTGGTGATTTATCCACAAGCCCCATCCATTCCACTGCCTCTGCCCTTCTGGGATATTTCCAGCTTAGGTTCCTTAAGAATCTTCAAGATCCTCCCGCCTGTTACACCTGCTAGCAGGTGTATTAGGGTTTCTGCTGCTGCGATAAAGCACCAGCCAAAAGCAGCGTGGGGAGGAAAGGATTTATTTCATCTCAAACTATACAGTTTATCATGAAGGGGTCAGGATAGTCCCTCAAGGCAGGAACGGATGCGGAGCCCACGGAGGGCTGTTGTTTACTGACTTCTTCAGCCTGCTTTCTTATACAGTCCAGGACCACTGGCCTAGGGGTGGCACTGTCCACTGTGAGCTGGGCCCTCCCACACCAATCATTAACCAAGAAAATGCTTCACAGTCTTTATATACATACATATATATATATATATATATACATATTTTATTAGACATACATGCAGGCAAAACACCAATGCTATCTGAGGGTGTCAGATCTTGGAGTTATAGACAGCTGTTAACAACCATGTGGGTGGTAGGAATTGAACCTGGGTCCTCTGGAAGAGCAGTCAGCACTCTTAACCATAGAGCCATCTCTCCAGACCCCGCTTCGCAGCAGAACAGAGAAGCATGGTACCCACGCTGGTGGAAGCAGTCCAGGATGGGTGGGTAGTAAACTGGGAATATTTCTACAGCCTGCTCTTCACGGCCGAGAACCTGAAGCTGGTGCACAGCGCCTGCCACAAGAAGACCACGCACAAGCTGCAGTGTGACCGTAGTAAGATCTACCGGCCCCAGGCAGGATCCAAGAAGCAGCGGCCTGCTCGCAAGCAAAGGCACTCTGAGGTGATGCAGTGGTGATGGGGCTATTACCCTTACATTTTGTCACTCTAGAAGCCCCAGCCTGAGTTTTCTTTTTAAAAGCAAGTATATTTTATATCTTTTATAATGTTTATATATTTTTACATTTTTAATACATTAAAGATATTTTGAAAAATAGACATGTCTAAAAAGCGTGCACGTATCCGTATCGAGAAAGGTGGAGCCAAGCGCACAATAACAGCAGCCGGTGACCGACCCATTGCCCCAGCTGAGTCCGTCTTCACAGCCGTGCGCAGCAGTGCCTCAGGACAGCGTGGTGGAGCTTTCTGTGCCTGTCCTACAGTCACGGACGCACACTGTTCACAATGTGTGGTCTTCCATGTTTCTGAGGGCTGTCCTTTCCGTAGGGGCCGGGTGTTGGCGCTGGTGACCTCGTGTCAATTCTGTGTTCAACTGACAGTGTGTTCTCTTGGAGACGCCATCCAGAGATCTTCAGACTCGCTGAGCCGTCTGCTGAACACGACAGGGGAAGACCCACACTACATCTCGGCGTCGTCCTCATCCTCATCCTCTTTGGCTCTGAAATGCATTTTTCTGAACTCTCGTCTGCTCATGGAAGGACAAGATGAAGAGGCTGGTGGCAGATCCTTAGAGGGAAGAAAACATGACTTCAGTCTTGAGTGGCACTGCCTGGGCACCAGATCCAAACCTGACCACGGTCTGCTCTGGGCCGTGCAAGTCTGTCCAGGCACTGGGCCCTTGGTAAGAAGGACGCTATCCTACAGACTAGGGGCAGCAACAGAAACATGGCTGCATGCTCACAAAACCACAGCTCTGACTTCCTAACCTGTTCACTGTCCAAGATACACCCAGGGCGCTGGAGCCAGGAGCCCTGCCTTCCAGCCTGTAAGCCCGAGAATGGGGCGCTGCAGGGGAGAAGCCTCCCACTTACACAGACCTCATTTTCTTTTTCTCAGTTATGCTTACCTCTGAGTTGTGGCCTTATGGATACACAGGAACCTGGGAGCCCAGGATGGCAGCTGCAGTTTGCTGCCCGCACTGCAGGAGAGACAGGAGGCAACACTTACGTGCAAGCGCTGCCAGGTCAGAGTCCCTCTGCAGGGGGGATGAGGCCCAGCCACCCTCCTCACTGTCACACTGCTGGTCCTCTGCCCCGACGGGTCTGAGCAGCGTGGCGGGGCCAGGACGCCAGGGCAGGGGGCCGCACTGTCAGGGGCCCCACTCGGTCCCAGGGCCAGCCCTAAGTCCTGCAGCCCCGAGCCCTGAGGAGGCCGTGCAGGAGCCGCACTCCCGGGGCAGGGCTGGAGGGGATCCGAGGCGGCTGGACCGAGCAGCCGCCGCCGGGCGAGCCAAGAGAGGCGCCCGCCCCTCCTCGGCTCCCCAAACGGCGGCGCGCGTCCTGCCCGCCCGGCCGCTCACCTTCCGGCTCCTCATGAGTGAGCGCCCCGGACCCAACGCTCCTTCGCCGTCTCAATCGTGCGCCCGCCAACGCCGCCGCCGCCGCCGCCGTCACTGCCGCGTCTGACGTCACCGCCGTATCCGTATCACGTGCAGTGGTCCTTCCTGCAACCAGGTTGAACTTATAGTTGGGTCTCACACTGGCAGGTGATAATGGTTGGAAGTTAAGCCGGGCGGTGGTGGCGCACGCCTTTAATCCCAGCACTCGGGAGGCAGAGGCAGGCGGATCTCTGTGAGTTCGAGGCCAGCCTGGTCTACAAGAGCTAGTTCCAGGACAGGAACCAAAAGCTACGGAGAAACCCTGTCTCGAAAAATCAAAAAAAAAAAAAAAGTGGTTGGAAGTTAAGAACTTTCTCTGGGTGTTCTGCTCCTATTAAGCTTATCATGGTTGGTTGAGTCCTACAGTGAGGCCTCAGACAGGTGGCCCAGGCCTAGCTCGGCCAGCTGCGGGTCCTGGCTTCATTGTGGGCCTCCGCAAGAGTCTAGCGGTTAGATGCATTTGCAGGAAACAGTTTTTGAGTTTGACCCCAAGACCCACTAGGTATCCTGTGACCACATTGACGCTCCCTCACGAGACTGACTCATTCTTTCTCAAAATAAATAATGTAAAAAATAATAAAGATCTTGAAATACAAATAAAATCTTTGGTCTCAGCCTCTGGTCTTGCTGGGTGGCTGGGACTGAGTGTAATGATTTAAGTAAAACGCTGCAGGTTCCCGAGTGGTGACAGTGGGCAACGGGCCAGGAGACCATGCTGCAGGTCCCTGAGCAGCGGCAGGCAGCAGGACCAGAGACCACGGTGGACCATGAAGGCAGCCAGTTCCAGGTAGGGAGCTGCATGCTGGGTGAGAGACTGAGACGGATAGGCAGCCATGCAGAGTGAGGTTGGAGTTATGGAGGGGAAAGGGGGAAGGGGAGAAGGGAGAAGAGCAGAGAGAAATGGGGGGAGGGGGGATTGGGGCGTAGTTTTCTCCAAACTGCTTCCTACTGTTTATTGGCCGAAGTGTTTTTAGGGTTCATGAAGACCTTTTGGGGACTTGTTCCATCAAATCACTTAGTCTGGAAGGAATCCACAGGTTCTTCTATGGAAACAAAAGCAGAACCTCTTTTCCAAAGTAACATATCCTTAGACTCAAATTTTGAAGTCAAGATAACTTTAAAATATATGTTAGTTTAGGTTAGCAGCTCCCAGAAACAAATGTCTCTCTGCAGGCAAAAAAATTCAAAGAAAACACAATAATACACATAGTCCAGATTCTCTATGTATTTTTCATCTTTGTGTGACTTATTTTTCTTTACTCCTTTAATCTATGATTGTCTGTACTCTTTTATATTACTTTAACTGTCTCTTTAAAGACTTTACTTCTTTTTATAACTGTCTATACTTTTTTTTCTCTCCCAAGCCTTCGTACATTTTTAAACACGTTGTGTCTTGTTTAGAGGTTTTTAATGTCTGAATCTGTCCTATTGTGCATCTGTAATCCTTTTCTGACTAGAAGCATTTAAAAATAGTAAGCAATGTGGTTGTCGCAGCCTTGGATGCTAGCTCCACCTCTCTTGGCCTTTCAATATGACAGAGGTACATTTACTACCAGTTCTGGGACTGCTGGGTGGGAGCCATGCTTACTACCTCAACTCTTGGAAGCACCATGTGGCACATAAATCTTTTCTGTCTTAGTTAAAGCTAAATCTGCTATGCGGCATGCTGCGTGGCCTCGAAATGTCTCCGTGTATGGTGGCAGTTGTTCCCATGTAGAAGGATCAGCTTACACATCACCTTCCTGTACTCTAACTTAGTTTCCTCTCCCATGTCTATAGCTAAGATACTCAGGAGGTCTCCCATGGTCAAATCTTTTCTCTATTAACCTGGAAGGAATCATCAGACTTTTGATTCCCGTGGAAACAAAAGCATAACTCCTCCCAAAAATAAAACATTTTGGACTTCCATTTTAAAGTGAAGGTATTCCTAATGTATATAGGTTGGTTTAATTCAGCAGTCCCTTCCATAATCCTATGTCTCTCAGCAGCTGTTGTTTGTCCATTAGCATTCAAAAACTTCAAAATTAACAAAGCACCATTTAAGGTCCAAACTCCTTGTGTTATAATATTTTCCATCTTTACATGGCTTATTCTTTTTTAAATTACTTTACTTCTATATTTAAAGACTTTGCTATTTTTAAACTTTTTTAATGATTGTCTATATCCTTTTTCTTTTTTTCTTAAGCCTATGCACATTGTTAAAGACATTGTATCCTGTTTAGAGTTTTTTTTCTGTGTGAATATATACCACCATGATTGGTTTAATACAGAAGCTGACTGGCCTATATCTAGACAGGATAAGGTAGGTGGAAGAACCAAACTAAGAGGACATTAGGAAGTAGGTGGCAGTCAAAGGGTCATGAGGAGAGAAGCAAAATGAATTTACCATGCTGAAAGAAGGTACTGCCACCTGGCAGAGGGTACACAAAAAAATATGGATTATGCCAGCCTGCCTGCAGGCTGTGCCCACCCCTACCTACCACACACTAAACTCTGTCTCTCCAAGACCCACTCTACTTCCCAACCCCATACACCTGAAATCCTCCCCCGGCCAACCCTCCCTCTCAACCCCAGCAGACTACATAGGCACAGGTGCTGACCACAGTAGTTGGAAGAACAGGCACAGGCCCAAGCCACACCAGTTGGAAGAAAAGATGAGTAAACGCCACTGTAAGAATACATTCAACAACCAAAAGCCATGTGGTACCACCAGAACCCAGTGATCCTACAACATTAAGACCTGAACATACCTATGCAACTGAAACACAAGAAAATGAATTTAATTAGTTTATGAAGATGATAGATGCTCTTAAAGAGGGGATGAAAATTTTCCTTAAAGAAATCGAGGAAAAGACAAGCAAAAATTTGGAAGAAATAACTCCCTTAAAGGAAGCAAAGAAAAAAAAAAGAGGTGAAGGAAACAGTTCAAGATTTCAAAACTGAAACAGAAACAAGAAAACACAAATTGAGGGAATTCTGGTAGTGGAAAATCTGGGGAAGTGAACAGGAGCTACAGATGCCAATATTACCAACAAAATACAAGAGATGGAAGAGAGAATCTCAGGCATTGAAAATACGATAGAGGAAATAGCTTCATCAGGCAAAGAAAATGTTAAATTCAATAAATTCCTAACACAAAACACCCAGAAAATCTGGGACACCATGAAAGGACCAATGCTAAAAATAATAGGGATAGCAGAAGGATTCCAGCTCAAAGTCATAGAACACATATTCAATAAAATTATAGGAGAGGGGGCCAGAGAGATGGCTCAGTGGTTAAGAGCATTGCCTGCTCTTCCAAAGGTCTTGAGTTCAATTCCCGGCAACCACATGGTGGCTCACAACCATCTGTAATGAGGTCTGGTGCCCTCTTCTGTCCTGCAGACATACGCACAGACAGAATATTGTATAAATAATAAATAAATAAATATTTAAAAAAAAAGTATAGGAGAAAACATTTCCAAACTGAAGAAGGACATGTTCATAAAGGTTCAAGAAGCTTGTAGAACATCAAATAGGCTGGACAAAAAAAATCCCCTTGTCACATAATAATGAAAACACTAAACACACAGAATAAAGAATTTTAAGAGCTGCAAAGGAAAAAGGCCAAGTAATGTATAAAGGCAGACCTATCAGAATTACACCTGACTTCTCAATGGAGACTCTAAAAGCCAGAAGATTCTGGACAGACATTTTACAGACACTAAGGGACCATGGATGCCATCCCAGACTACTATACCCAACAAAATTTTCAATCACCGTAGATAGAGAAAACAAGCTATTTCATGAAAAAACCAGATTTAAACAACATCTATCCATAAATCTAGTGCTACAGAAATTACTAGAAGGAAAATTCCAACCCAAGAGAGGCAGTTACATCTACAAAAACACAGAGGCCGGGCGGTGGTGGCGCATGCCTTTAATCCCAGCACTAGGGAGGCAGAGGCAGGCGGATCTCTGTGAGTTCGAGGCCAGCCTGGTCTACAGAGCTAGTGCCAGGACAGGCTACAAAGCTACAGAGAAACCCTGTCTCGAAAAACTAAAAAAAAAAAAAAAAAAAAAAAAAAAAAAAAAAAAAACACACACAGACAAATGATAATTTCACAGCAGCAAAACTCAAAGAAGGGAAATCCAAACACTACCACCACCACAACCAAACCCAAAAATTAACAGGAATCCACAATCACTGATCAATTACAACTTAATATCAAGGAATTCAATTCACCAATAAAAAACACAGGCTAACAGAATGGATATGAAAACAGGATCCATCCTTCTGCTGCATGCAAGAAACACACCTCAACTTCAAAGACAGACATTACCTTGGAACCAGTCTTCACTGTGTATCCCTTTCAGGTAAGGGGACGAACCAGTCTTCACTGAAAAGAGAATGCTGACTGGCAGCAGCTCCCATGAGCAGGCACCAGGGATCAATGTGATCAGCCTCCACCAGGGAGAGCAGAAGGGACCTAGATGCCTGTGATCCCAGACCCAGTGTGAGACAGTCACCCTGCACTCGCTCAGTGGTAGATGTTCTAGGAGGGAGTTCACCCCAGGCCCTCCTTAAGAAGCACTAGGGTCACTCATTCGCCAGCCCTTAGCAGGAGCAGGGAGATGCAGGAGGCAGTGAGCAGAGAAGTGGACGGCCTAAGTAGGTATTGAGATGAAAACAAGCATCCGTGCAGGCTTACAGCCAGGCAGGACAGCACTCAAAACACACTCCTGCAAGAGTAACAGGCAGGTCCAGGCTACACAGTGAGACCAGGACAACAGGTACAGCAAACAGAAAATGAGACGAAGCCAGTCACACTTATTCATGCTGAGCAGCCACTTGGAGGGACCCGTGCAGGACAAAAGGCAGTTAATGTGCCAACTAGAGATCTCCTCTTTGATGGCAACAGAAACCGAGTCGGGGGAGCGTGAGGCAAAGAGCAGAGTGGGCGTAGGAGTCGCAACCTTCAGGTACCAGAGCAGAATGAGGGAACAGCCCTGGGACTCCGAGACCTGCCAAAGGCTCACACGTCAGAACAATCACACTGACCCCAAAACACTAAGGTCAGGTGCAGCCGGAGACACGTAGACTTCAGCATTTGTTAAAAGACAAAAGAGAGAAACTAGAAAACAAGGAGAAACCCTAAGAGGAGTGCAAAGTAGGAATAAAAATAACAGCAAAACACCCTGCAGTTAAGCATAGGGCAAACGCAGCTGCAGGCAATGGGGAGCAAACAGAGGCCCCTGCACCTGCAGGAGGAATGGCAGGATCTGTACAGGCTATGGGCCTGCAGTCAGGATCCTGACAACAGTGCCTCAGACCCTAAGAAAGGGACCCAGTCTCCAAGGGCTGGCCAAGGCCACCCATCCGGTTGTTATAAAAGACATCAGAATGTGGCAAAATTATAGCAACAATGTCTCTCACAGACAGCCAGGAGAGAATCAGTGCCCGGGACAAAAAGTAAACAATGAGCAAAAGGAAGCAACATGAAAGAAAGCCATGAATGGCAAAGAGGCCTCAGCCTTCCCGGGAGCCAGGAAACACAGAAGCTGCAGAGTGGGTGCTCTCCTCAGTCAGGGAAATGCAAAGAGGCACAGGGACACCTGTGGTGGCGAGGACATAGAGCAACTCGCAAGCATGTGAGCTGGAACATTCAGAGAAGGCTGGAGATACTCGGAAGGGGAACACCTGTATCGATTTCCCAAGGAGTCTGGAGGTCAGAGCCAGGGTACTCTTTCTCATGGAGAGTCCACACCAGACCCCCGGAGGCCTTCTTGATCCTGGGTGGGGTCCAAATCTGCATTGCTCGCCAGCTGTGGATGCAGCCGGTCCACAGATCAGCCGGACAGGGATGGAACTGGGAGACAGTTTCATTCCAGGGTTAGGTAACGGCCTAAATGCCCAGGAGGGAACTAATGTGGGCTAGTCTGCAAACAGTGAAGGAGTCTGCTGTGCACTGAGTTGTGTGGACAGAGCACCGTGGAGCCAGAGAGTAGCACAGGCATGGAAGTCCACACTTGCTGGCAAAGGTGTGCAACAGGCATTAACGGGGCATGTTTCAGGAGAGTGGTTTTTTGTGGCAACAGGGCAGGGGCACTGAGTACTGAGGGATAAAGGGGCCCTCAAATAACACTCACTCTTTATATATGTTTCATAGTTTTGACTCCAAGAGTCAGGTAGCCATTTGTGGATACTGGGAGCACTTTGCCTTCACAAAGCAAGGTCAAGGGTAGTTACAGTCAAGAGCTGTAAGAATATGTCCTGCCCTGCCCTGGTTAGAAGTGACTGCAGCTTGCCCAGCTGCGATACCATCCTACTGGCCCTGACCTCCCACAACACAGCCCAAAAGCAGACTCCTGGTTCAAACACAGAGCACCCACTCTCTTTGAATCCACCACTGGGCCATGAGGAGCCAGGCCACCAGATCCACCCACAGAAGGGGGTGGGAGGGGGCGGGACAGTTTAGCACTGGGCACTGACAGCTGGAAGGTCAGGAGCATCGCTCCAGATGCTCCTTCCATAAGCGCTTGGGGTCTGTCCCTGGGCCTGAAGCACACAGGTGTAATGGGCCAGATTTGAGCTGCCTGAGCAGATGCTGGGTTAGTTCTGGTTAGTGAACTGGAATCTCAGTGACAGACACTCACATATGATCCAGGTTCCAGGTGCTGAAGAGGATCCAGCTCTCCCTGTTGCCATAGGGGTTGATGGAGTGTTTGGAAAGACAGCTCTCCAGGTCAAAGGGGCCCTGCAGGGACCGAGGCAGGGGTTGGAAAGGCAGAGGGAGGTACGTTACTGTCCTCCTCCAAGCCAACAAGCTTGCGAAGGCGCAGGCCCCACAAGGCGTTCAATCCACGAACCAACATTTGAACCAGGCAGTGATCCCCAGCACTAAGAGGCAGAGGTGAAGGCCAGGGGGATGGCTCAGCAGGAAGAGCACTTTCCACGCAAGCCTGAGAACCACGTTTGGATCCTGAAGTCACGTAAAAGCCAGGTGTGGTCTGTCCTCTGACCACACCCATGCCGTGGCATGTGCACACTCCCACACAAACACTACACACATATACATAAAAGGAAATAAATATTAAGTCAGCCTCAGCTACATAGTGACCTTAAGTCTAGCCTCAACTACATATTAAGACCTCATTTTAAAAAACAAAAGTGTTTGCTGTTCTTTGGAGATTGAAAATTCTCTCTTTGTGAGGTGGAGAGACGGTTCAGAGGTTCCTGCCTGTTCTTCTAGAGGACCAAGGTTTGATTCCCAGCACCCATATGTGGCTCACACCCATCTGGAACCTCAGTTCCAGGGGATTTGACAACCTCTTCTGGTCTCCACAGGCACCAAGCACAGATGGGCACAGACATATACACAGGCAAAACACTCATATTCAAAAAACTAAGCCTCATTTTTAAAAATGCGGTCTTTGGAATTCTACCGCCCCTAACATTCCATTGCCCCTGATCTTAATATTCTGAGTTTTCAAAAGATGAAGGCATTTCTGTCCCTGATACTAGAGAATCATCCTTCACTAGGTGCCTCTACAGATCCACACAGGAGCAGACCTGTTATTCCCAACATGTTCCTGCACGACTACGGTGCCATATACTAACACTTGTACACCCCAACAATTGCACGCCACCATCTTTGCTGTAGTAATAAGGGCGGCGGGGCTGCGTCCCCAGCACCCCAGCCGCCCACCCGGCTAGCTCAGTCGGTAGAGCATGAGACTCTTAATCTCAGGGTCGTGGGTTCGAGCCCCATGTTGGGCGCCAACTGAAGGTGTAAGTCATAAACAATGCCACACCAGTTTGGAATTATGATTAATAGGGTGGTATTTATTTAAAGGGGAAAAAACTTACAGATCACCATCCGCCCTCTGCGCAACCAGGAAGGAAGTCTAGTCGCTGGCGGAGCAGGAAGTGAAGAGAGAGAGGAGAGGGAAGTGGCCGCTTTTTTAAATGGAGAGAGACCACGCCCCAATGGGCTGGTATCTCAGTGGCGATAGGCTGGAGGAGTGGGAGGACCTCCCATAACACCTTGCCTCCTCCCGCACTTTGAACTTGAGGGCTACCAGCACCTTCTCTTAGGCCAGCTGCTGAATGTCCTACCCACCTCTCACCCCCAGGAGGCAGTGACCCCAGAATGAAGGGCACAGAGCTCACCTGGCAGGAGAACCAGTCTTCCGGAGTAAAGAGCCGCTCACTGGCCTCTGCCCCTCGATCAAAGTAGCTGCCATTGTACTTCTGGGATTTGAGCTTCTGGCACATGGAGCTGAGGACCCACTCGAATTCTTCTCGAGCCGCTGCATCCACCGCAGAGGTGTGAGCACTCACCTGTAAGAGTGAGCCAGAGGCATCGCTGAGCCCGTGGCCTGCCTGTGGCCTGCCCGTGCCCGAAAGCCTGCCTTCAATCACCAACCTACACCACGCATTGGCTGTCAGGAGCCAGCCTACGCCTAGTTCTACAGTTAGAGTGTCTGACCACTGCTCAGCTATCACATCATGGCCATTCGGGGGGCCGTGAAGTGGAATCAACAATGCTCCCATCTGGCTGGGAGAACGAAACAAGAATAGGCCAGGCAGAGAGGTTCACATCTGTAATCCTAGCACTTGGGAGGCTGAGGTGGGAGGATCCAAAGGCCAGCCTGCTCTACAGAGCAAGATCCCATGGTGAGGGCGGGGGGGGGGGGGGTGGGGGGGGGGGTGGGGGGGTGGGGTGGGGGTGGTGGGGGTGGGTGGGAGTGAATTAAGATCCCATAGTCAGCAGGAGGAGCATTCCCTCTGTGATAAGGCGAGCAGCACCAACAAGCCCCCCCCCCCCCCCCCCCCCCCCCCCCCCCCCCCCCCCCGCGTCCATGCAGCCAGAGGGTCAGTACTAGGATCAGTCAGGGCACCGGCGGCGATGTTAGGTCATGTGGGGACAATCACCAAGGAAGGCCACATGAAGTACAAAACACTGGACACCATACATCGGCAGCTGTGACACACTGAGCGGGTTGAGGTAGATATGGGGAGTACGGGGACAGCACACAGCCATGTAAGGGCTCCTGCAGCACTTTCTACCTGCCAATCAATGTGGAGCCTGACATGCAAATGAGCAGCAAAGGCCAAGCTGACCCCACTGTGTGAGAGAGAGGGGAAAGGGAAAGGTTTAAAAACAAAGAAAGTGCAGGGTGAAGGGGAACCCATGCCTGCCCTTCCAGCTGCCTGGCCACGCAGGGTGAAGGGGGACCCACGCCTGCCGTTTCAGTTGCCTGGCCACGCAGGGTGAAGGGGGACCCACGCCTGCTGTTTCAACTGCCTGGCCATGCAGGGTGAAGGGGGACCCACGCCTGGCTTTGTTCCTGCAAACTCGAGCTGTGAATTCTATCAGCCCTCCTGTCTGCCTGGGGTTGTTACTGCCACCTAGAAGAAACCTGGGCAGAGCAGTCAGGCATGGAGCACCACTGTGCCCACTGCCTGCCACACTGCCCTTGCGGACCTCACTCTGGTGTGGAGGGCAGCTAACAGGTAGGTGAGTACAGGCAGTGCTCCAGCAGCCTGAGAAGGAAGTCCTAGAACATGCCCAGTGGAGATTCTGAGCCCAGCGGGGCCTGGGCAAGCAGGCAGTATCCATGGCGACAAGAGAACAGTCAGGGCGGTCAGGTTCCGGGCCTGGTCAGGAAGGGAGGGTGGCTTCAACCAGCAGGGGGCTCTGTCAGGTTTTCCCCATAGACACCCAGCTCGAGCTACACCACGAGATAAGAAGATTTCGGAGGAGAGTGTGCACGGAGGAAGAAGGCAGCCTTAGGATCTACTTTTAACCAAGAAGCTCAGGGGTAGGAACCCAAGCAGATGCTGGGTTAGTTCTGGTTAGTGAACTGGAATCTTGGTGACAGACACTGACATATGATCCATGTTCTGGGTGCTGAAGAGGATGCTGTAAAGACAGACAGATGGAGAAGCCCCAGGTCTGTGCCACTAGCCAACTGCTGGGCGGTTACCCAAGTTACCCCAAGGAGAGCAGGGAGAAGAAGGTCCCCAAAACAAGTTGCTGTCCCCAAACCACCCATCCACTGCTCATCATATCTGAATGAAGGCAGTCACGTGGAGCCCAGTGCAGAGAGGCACAGAAGGCTCACCTGGCAAAATGAGGGGCACCTCATGCTCTCGGTATGGGCAGGTCCCATGCACCATAGAGGGTCTTCCTTCCACTCTGCACCTCACTGGCATTTGTGTCTTCATGAAAGGAAGCCAGGGTATCAGGACACCAAGGACAGCCTCCTCCTGGAGTTCAGGCGAGGTGCAGTGGAGCCGCTGGCCACTCCTCCCAGAGAAGACCAGAGCTGAGACCCAATAGTCAGCCGCTCACAGCCTATCTACAAAGCACCCCAAGCAAAGGTGTCTTCGGTCCTGTGTTCCACTTTTCCAAGGTCAGAGGACTGCCAAGCACCCAGAGAATAAATAAATACAAGTGTTGGGGGGAAACAACCACCCGATCGTGAAGAGCAATGGAGGAGATGCAGAAAACCTCTCCATAACGGAACGAAGCTCATCAGAACAGACCTGCCCGCTGCATAAGGCACCAGCTGGTGCTGTTCTACGTAATAGCATCCTTGGCAAAGAGCTGAGGCTGAGGCCTCTGACCCTATCCAAAGGACACGGCCCAGAAAGGTTCTAATACCTGTTAGATGACGGGGTCAGAGGCTAAAGTACAGAAGAGCTCAGATGCAGGAGACAGGAAGCTCTTGCTCCTCTGAGGTACGCAAGCCTCACAGGCAACCTTGCAGACGTGCATCAGCAGTGGAGTGGCAACCCCACCAACTGCACCATCCTTCCTCAGCGTGATCTGAGCATGGCCTTACCTCTCTCAGGTAGCCCCGGATCCTGCTCTCACAGCTATATCTCAGGTAGCCAGACTTATTCCTGAATCGAGACTCCAAACCTACAAGAAAGATGACTCTGGGACCTACAGGCAGACCACGACCTCTTGGTTTGTGTCCCGAGTGGCTCAGGACAGAGTTTGTCAAAGGCAAATACTGAGCACCGGACACGCAGTATTTAACAGTGAATGTGGGTCATGTCCCAGCATACCAAGTTTCCCCAGAGCCTGCCATCCTCCCTCTCTCTGCGTGCCACCGCCACCCATCCCACAAATGTTTTTCTGCGAACACTCAGGAGGCTGAAGCATGAGGACAAGCCTGAGGCTAGACTCCATGGAGCAGGTAGAGAAGAAAAGGAAAGGAAATGGGGGCATCGTTCCATCTACATGGGGCTGTGAGTGTTACCGGGGCTCAACCAGCACATCCCAGCCACTGTGCCGGACCCATGTCCTCAACAGACCCCGGTCCATGTGGGAGACAAACCACATACAAGTGCTGCATAATATCATATCCTGCCACAGGATGGTGCCCTCCAGCCCCCTACTCCCTCATCCTGGAGGTCAGCAGATAGAACTGATCCCCAAATGAAGATAAGAAGTGGACAAGAGTATTCCAGTACTTGGGGAATAGTTGGTCCTTGCTCTTGTATCCCAGGAGTTTCTGTATCCCAACACACCAACAAGGGAATCAGAAAGGAGGGGAGAAGTCCGGAAGAACATCTCCATCCATTTCAGCGTGTGTCACCTCACAGAGAGTCACCTGACCAGTCTGGGCCACTACCAGATCTCAATTGTTTCTGAGAATCCTTACTGTTCTCTCCTGTTGGCCTGGAAAGGGTGAATAAAGAAAGAGGTGACCAAAGGTCGCCACAGTCTGACACCCACCATGCCATGAAGCTTCTCCCCCCTCCCCCGCATGGCTCTTGTTATCTTGAAAATGTTCAGAATGCTCTGTGTGGTGTTTCAGTAGCATCTGCATCCCCCGCTGGTCCAAAGGCTGTAAAAGGCATGAGAGGGACTCACTTGCCAATACTGTAACATCTCCAGACCCACAGCGAGAGCTTGGTAATGCAGGGAAATGAAGAATTCTGCCACCACAGCCTGTGGATGAACACATAGCTCCAAACAGAAGCCCACAACACCCTCAGTCTTTGGGGGATGTCTGTTACCTGAGGTCACTGTCTGGACCAGGGGTATTCAGGTCCTGGCTCTATAATCAAAGAATTACAGAAGAGAATACAGAACGGAAAGTTGTAAGAAACATTATCCAAGAGCAAAGTCGGGGTCATTCACTTTTCTGGCTACTTGGAAAAGCCTAGAAGGAGAGCCCTAACCACCACTCCCTGCTCACTAGAAGGGCTGCCATCTCTAGAAAGAGAGAAAATCATAGCAGGACACGCACTGAGAAAGATTCTTCTACAGTTTTGATGGAGGTTAAAAGGCGTGTAGCTGAAACTAACCAACCAGGTAGCACTATGCTTCTAGAAAAATCCCCAAGAAATGTCGCCCGGGAAACAGTAGCAGCTGTGGGGTGAGATGCTGAGGAATGGGTGGAGACATTCTGCCAAATAGTGTGAAAGTCAGAGCCAATCCCACCAGAGCACGGAGGCACCAGTGCGGGTCTAGATGACAAGAGTTATTTCTCATTTAGAGCTGGCGATATTCTTGCACATGAAGCTGCCCTTTTCGCTAAATTTCTGACATATTTCATGACATAAATCATTGCCATGCCTCCCTTTCACAATAAATGGATGATATGCAAACTAATAAATGAAAAAGAAACCGTGTGGGTCAGATACACTACAAAGAGAGCCACAAGCTCCTTGGGTTAAGCAATTCAAGAGACCCAGGTGACTGTCTGGAGCCTCCCTTTATGAGCTCTGAAAGGAGGAGTTTTGTTGATAAGGGGTGTCCTAGGAACGGTGTTGCAGAATATCCCTTTACACTGTGTGAAGATGTGGCACTATGATTGGTTTAATAAAGAGCTGAATAGCCAATAGCTAGGCAGGAAGCTGTTAGGTGGGACTTCTGGGGACAGAGAGGACTAGGAGAGGAAGAAAGGCGGGGTCACCAGCCAGACATGGAGAAAGCAGCATGAACATTGTGGAGAAATGAGGTAACAAACCACGCAGCTGACCACAGATGAAAATAAATGAGTTCATTCAAGTTATAAGAGCTAGTGGGACAAGCCTAAGCAAAGGCTGAGCTTTCATAATTAATAATAAGTCTCCATGGCATTATTTGGGAACTGGTGGTACAGAGAAAGACTTGCTACATATGGTGTCTGATGTGGGGACTTGACTATCCAAACATAGGGTCTGAGAAAGCTAAGAAAAGTTCTTGACAAGGAGCTGGATGTAGCTTCCTAGCCCTGCAGTCTCTCAGGCAGGCTGGTGCTTGGCAGCACACAGGGATGTGGCTACCAGCGCTGCCTACTGCCAGCACCGTGCACCCGTGCCATGTCTGGTTTAAGATTGTGTCATGCTATCAGAGAACACTGCAGTTGCTCAGTAAAGACAGGACAAAACCTCTGAACAGGCAGAGTATCTTAGACACTAAAGGAAAAGAAAATGGATATAGACAGTCATAGAAAAAATTAAGTATTTTTAGAATAATGAAGTCTTTAAAGAGAGAATAAGGTAATATGGAAATATAAGCTACGTACGGATGGAAAATATTATAACATAGGGAGTTTGGGCCTTACGTGGTGCTTTGTTAACTTTGAATTTTTGTTTTGTTTTGTTTTTCGAGACAGGGTTTCTCTGTAGCTTTGGAGCCTGCCCTGGCACTCGCTCTGTAGCCCAGGCTTGCCTCAAACTCACAGAGGTCCACCTGCCTCTGCCTCCCGAGTGCTGGGGTTAAAGGCATGCGCCACCACTGCCTGGCAATTTTGAATTTTTTTTTGAATGCTAATGAAGAAAGAAGGACATTGGCGTGTGCAAGTGCCTGCTGAACTTAACTGGCCCAGACACTTTAGGGGTGTCTTGGCTTTAAAGTGGAAGTTGGACAGTGCATTGGGGGATGGGTTATGCCTCTGTGTTTCCACACGAAACAAAAAGCCATGGTTCTTTTCAAAACTGATAAACATCAAATCTGATTGGGAGATATCTCCTGAGGCCTGTCTGTCCAGGACCATTTGAAAAAAAAACCTCAAATGTGTAAGTGGGCACAGAGTGAATGTTTCTGTGGTATCCTGCTACTCCCTAAGGAGCTGGCTTTGCTGTTTTGAGTGGAAGAGACGTCAGGTTTCCCAAGAAACCCCCAATTAGCCCCCAATTACCTGGAGGAAACTTGCCATGTTTTTCTCTAAGCTGGGGACTCTTAGCCCCATCTGTGCAGGGTGCCGGGATCTCTAAGCCACTTGCTTAGTCATTCTGCCAAGTGTTGGCAGTGGGATCTGAACTGAGTCCATGAGTATGAGAGAGCAGACAGACCAAGGCAAAGGCGGAACTAGCTGGTTAATCTGGGCCTTTTGCAAGAAGTTTCACAAGTAAGTGGCCACCTTCAGTGAGGGTCCCTGAAGCAGAACCTTGGTGCTCTGAATCCACTGAACCATCTCTTCAGCTCTGAACTTAAAAATGTAAAGAGATAATTACCACATTTAAAAAATTTATTTATCTATTAGTGTGTGTGTGTGTGTGTGTGTGTGCTCACGTGTGTGGGGACGCAGAGTTTGGTCACGAGAAGGGAACAGCCTGTGCAGCCTGTCTCTGCCCCTCTGCTCCTGACACTTAGCCCTCATCTTCAGGGAAAGGAGATGCCCGCCTTAGATGGCTCAGGAAACTGCCCCTGTAGGGAAGATTGAATCTGTCCTGAAACAAGGCCGGCAGGATTTCCTACTCCTAAAAGACTTCGGAATCTGTATCTTGTACCTAGGAGACCCTGGGTAGCTGAGCATAGATAAAAACATGGACCACTGTTCTGCATGTTTTACCCAAAGCAGCTTGGAATCACTTCACTGGTGGTTTCAGCACCCAGTGGAACCTTTGGTGGACTAGTTGGATGGGCCTGCAGGCCGAGAATGCACCCAGAGTGTGAGGGCCTCTCTGGAGCCTGAGGTGGAGCCTTCCTTCTCCAGGCCCAGGGTGGAGCATCCCCTTCTGAAGGCTTTCACGGGGGTCTGCTGCTGCAAGGGTGTGCAGAAGTGAGGGCTGGAATGCTCTTCCCTAGGATGTCTTCCTAGTCCTATGGCCTGCTGGCAGGGACGCCATTACCTGGGAACCGTGACCTTCTCCTTTTAAATCAGGGCCTCCTTTAAATTATGTTCCCCAAAGGGTAGCCAAGTAGATAGTAATTACTTCCTACCCTCCCCTGGACAGGAAGGCAACGGGGAGCTCCTGGGGAACCTGTAGGTGTCCTTACAGAATGTACAGACTGAGCGCTTGTCTGTCCTAGAACTAGCTCTTGTAGTTCGAGCT